CAAATATCGGCTCAACTCACGCAACAAGACATCATCGATGGCTTCAAAGAGTAACTCTTCACTCAACTAAAGAGTGCAATAAAAATAATTGCAATTTGTTTTGGTCTCCAATTTATTATATATATATTTCATGACAATTATTATTATTAATATAATTGAATATTTATTTGAAGGTATTTTATATTTTAAGCATAAATTTATATACAAAATACAGTATATTTAATAATCGATTACTTTATTTGTATTTTTGTGGTGTTTTTTGTATTTTTTTAATTTTAAATTCATAGCGAATATTTTGTATTTTCTAGTCTTAACACCTTATCTGCAAAATATGTTTATTTACAGTGTTTTTTGCTTTCTATTCATTGAATTCAATAAACTTAACCCAAAAAATCACATTTGGTTTACACTTAATTTAATTTGTGTTAAATGTAACCAAAATAAAGTTATATAATAAAATAACGTAATACTGTATTAATAGTTATAAAATTAGTTTATAATAAAACAAATTATTTGCCTAAAGATAGCAATAGTTGTCCCATAAATTATACTAAATTTAATTTGAGTTAAACTTTGGGTGACTTTTAATATGTATTGATTGGCCAATAGATGTGACCATCGGTTCCGTAAAATATAATTATTTGAGTGAAACGTGTTTTGCATTAAAGGCCGTAAAGGCATGACTCACGAGAAAGGGGTGTGTCTTATATGTAGTGTTGTTTACAAACACTGTTTTGACATTTCATTTGAAACTCACTCTAATTGTGGGATCAGTTGTTGTGATCATTGTTTTGCATTAACATCTGTTGACCGCATCAATGGTCTAATAATCGACTGACAAATCTATATATAATGATAAACGCCATGAATATCGAGGCACTCGAGGCTGAGGCCCGACAGACGGCTATTAAACACGTGTCAAATATGCTTCAAAGACCGGATCAGTTGGAAAAAGTGGATCAATACAAGCGAAGAGTCATCCGGAAGAAGGTATAGACGGCGCCATTGAAATGGATTTGAATGATAACCTAATTGTGATATTATGTGTGTTTCAGACATCGGTTGAGGGAATGCTGAAGACAGCGATGCAGACACAGTTGGATGGCGTGCGGACCGGACTCATACATCTGCAGACATCACAGCAGGACATCCATGAGATCAAGAAGACGCTGAAGGAAGTGGAGGAGACGTTTCCGGTTGTGCCGAATCTGGTGGAGAAGTTGAAACTCGTGAGGGAGGAGTCGATGAAACACTCGCAATATGTGGCCGCTATGGAGAACTTGAAGCATATCTTCAATGTTCCCGAAACGGTGCAGAAGACGAGGGACGCCATCGCCGAAAGCGATCTCCTCATCGCTCACCAGTATATGACTGATTTGGAGAACTCGAGGGACGACCTGTTGTATGAATTGCATCGATTGCCGGCCACTTCGACGGCCGACAAGAATATGTTGAAACACTATTACTCCGAAGTGGAGAAACTGTCGGAAGAGTTGGGCAAACAGTTATGGCTTATTATCCGATTGACGCTCAACTCTGTGCGCAAAGAGCCGGCGATTATCGTAACGGCGCTCAGAATTATTGAACGCGAAGAGAAGGCCGACGCGATGGCCATCAAACGCTACGACACCACCGGCTTTATGCCGACGGGAAGACCCAAACAGTGGCGCAAACGTGTGTTTGAGATCTTAGAAGAGGCCATTTCGGAGCGAATCGCCGGCAATCAGTTCCACGAAAGGGCACAGAACAAGATGTGGCTCGTCCTGCATATGGAAGTGACTCGTATACTCTTCATAGAGGACCTAAAAGTGGTCAAACAGGCGTGCGTTCCCTGCTTTCCGCCCCACTATAACATTGTTCAGGAAATGTTGCACTTATACCACAAGTGTCTCAGTTCTCACCTCCAAGAGTTGGCCAACGAGTTGGAGGGCAACGAATACGTGACTCTATTGAATTGGGTTCAGTCCTATGAGGGCCCGGAACTCATGGGTCACAACGACTTGAAGTTTGACATCAAATCGGAAGGACTGCCACCACTACTGCCCAAACCTATTGTCGAAGAGTTGACGTCTAAATATTGCGCAACCGTTGAGAAGAACTACAAGGAATGGCTGAGCAATACTATCGCACGCGAAGTCAAAGACTGGAGCAGTAATAATCAGCCCGAATGTGATGAGTCCCGACACTATCAGACAACCACTCCTGTCATTGTCTTCCAGATGATTGATCAACACGTAAATTATTGCATCACTCAACATATCACTTGTAATAACCCTTTTTAACCACTATTACAGTTACAAGTGGCCCGAACTGTCACCAAAACTCTGGTCAATCGTGTGCTCATCATAAGTATGGATCACTTGTCGGCGTTCGCCAAACAATATAAAGACGCCGTCAATAAGTACTCTAAGTCTCACTTTGAGAACCGTAATCAACTTTTTACGCCTAATATGGTTAGTCTCTCTCTCTCTCTCTCTCTCTCTCTCTCTCTCTCTCTC